AAATGAATGCAAAGCTTGCAAAGCTGGCCTCGTCTGATGGCCTCTTAGCAACCCAACACCCCATTCTAGGCAACAGGGATGTTTTTATAACCCTTACGTCATAATTTCGGTTGTTTAAGTTTACATCATATATGGTCATTGCAGATAATACAGAAATGTGTTAAGGAGGTGTTAAAATAACCCATTTGGACATGGGTGTTGCTGAACTTTAAGTTTTTCTCTAAGTTTGAAAAAGATATCAGAAAAAATGCATCATCTCCCCATCCTGAGACGGCCATTTAACGGCACATGCTCACCCTGGGTGGTGACCCCGGCCGGCACGTGTACCCCTCCGCGTCTGCGGTCTGGGAAGCGCCTGCCATTGGACGCACCCCCCACATCCCCCAGGTTCCCTGCCTCCTGTGAGGGCTAGCCCTCACGTCCACAGAGGCCTTGCCGTCGCAGCCTTCTGGTCAGGGCAGACGCCTCCCTGGAAGTGGGATTGCCGATCGAGCCCCTCACCAAGCTGCGGGATTCCGGCAGCCACCCCGGCTCTGGGCTTCCCACCGCCCTGGCCAGGCTTGAAGTCCTGGTTCTGGTCTGAGTCCTGGGCCCCCAGGAGCGCCAGGAGGGGGTGGATTCAGGCATGCACTTGGGTCAAACCCACACTCGCAGGGCAAGAAGGGAGATGGCCGCTGGCATGGCCCTCAGGGGGAGCCAGGAGCCTGTGTGCGGCCAGCAGTGTCTGCCGAGCAGTGCAGGTGCGAGGCCTGACCTTGGCTTGGTCACCCCACCTCTGAGAGCCCAGTGTCCCCAACACTGGTGAGCTGGATGCAGGTTGGCTGCTAGTCAGAACTGTGGGCTCTGGTTTGCCTGACGCCATAGGCAAGCAGCGGGAGGAGGAGGGGCTCCTGCGGACACAGCAGGAGCGTGTCCTTGATGCCAGCCCTGGGCAGAGCAGGGCCTCCGGCCCCCACCGCCCATGTGCACCCCGCCATCCTCCTGGGAAGGAGCCCACAGCTCTCCCTCTGCCCCGGGGCTGTGTGCTGTCCACGTGGAGGGGCTCCAGGCCAGTGCTGGAGTTGTCCCGTAAGAGCTCAGACTTAGAATCGTAGAGCTGGCCGCTCCGACAGCATTGTCTGGACCCAAGATACTCCCTGCCCCTAGGACCTTACGTGACTGGGACGTGCTACCCCAGTGCACAGAGAATGTCAGAAAGCCTAGGTCACAGAAAGCAGTAGACCGAGTGTGATCGAATACGGGAGCACACACGGTGTCCGGAGCCCTCAAGAGTGGTCGCCATCGTGCACACTAGGATTAGCTCAGCGTGAAATGCCTTTGAAGTCCCATGTTTTTTCTTCGAAATCCATGGGAATTTTGACTCTGCCATTACCCACCCTGGCCTGTTTTTCTACAGAATGAACAAGACCCTTCTCAGTCTGGCCCTGCCTGTGCCTCGGGACCCCACAGTCCCACACTCTCTGAGAAGTCGCCCCCAACCCCGGCCCCTCTGGGAGTGGAGCCCCAGAGGGCCCTCAGCCCTCCCACCGCCGGTCACCTCCTGCTGTCCTTGTTGCCCACCCCACCTCTGAGCATCAGCCTCGGCCAGTGGGGCAGTGCCAGCCCTCAGGGCCACTGCCGAGCATTGAAGGAGAGCTTGGGGCCTTCCGAGGGCCTGGGCAGGGCCGCTGGCTTCCTTCTTCCTCCCTTGCCCTGTGTCTCCCACCTAACTGCAGTCATTCCCACTGGGGAGCCCAGATCATGGCCCCCCAGCCCCAAGTTCCATGGAGGCAGAGGAACTGCGCCTGGCGCCCTCCCTGCACCCCTTGGCCCAGCCCCAGACGGGCTGCACAGCCACCATGGAGTCCAACCAACACCACGGCCTGGTTAGTCGCCCGTGGTTGGGTCAGGACCCGGTCTCTGCAGGGAAGTGGAGGACCGGGTGGCAGACTCCTTGCCTCTGCGACCCCGGGTGATGGGCTGTCTTGCCACGTCGGCCACTGTGCACACAGAGCACATGGGCCTGCCTCCCTAGAGCGTGGGTCCACTGGGGTGGGAGGAGGAATGGAGACCTGGGGGAGGCAGGTGGCAGGTGCACAGATGGACATGCGCACCACGGCGGAGGCACAGCCTCGGGCGGGGCCTCATGCCATGTCCTGCCACTGCCAGCAGGCTGTACAGGCCACTGACTGGATGGACGGTCGCCAGCAGCCGGCGATGCTGAAGGTTCAGAGGAAGAGATGTGGGCAGGCTTTCTGTCATCCCTCGGTCCCAGCGTGTGCCCCACATAGGGTGACAGTGCTGTCAGCCTGCTGCCCGTCCACAGGTAGGACAGTCTGGCCTCAGTAGTTTCTGGGGCCCAGGCAGAGCAGACAGTGGTGCTCCTCAGAGACCTGCCCTGGATGGAGGGCAGGGTGCCATGGGCACCCGCTTAGGTCAGGACATGGTACTGTTGAGTTTTCCCCCGTTTGCCTTTTCTCTGCATCATCTCATTCATCAAATCTCCCCACGTTGTTGGGACTCACTGAGCAGTACGGTACTGGAAGAATGCCACTGCTGAACGTGTGCCCCTGTGGTGGCCAGCCTCGCCCCCACCTCCCAGTGCACAGCCAGGGCCTCCCTGGGATGTGCGTCAGGAGGCTCGGAGGCCCCAGGCGAGTGTGCGGTGCCTTCCGCCTCCGGGAAGACTCTCCCTGACAGCCGCCCCGCCATTGACCCCCTAAAGCAGCCGTCAACAGCCTGTCTGCTGCTCCCGTGGGTATCCCGTCGTGGCTTCGTGCACCCCACTGGCCCATTACCATGCGAGAGGTCAGGGCCCATGGGATGGAAGGAGGTCCCTGCGGGGCCTGGGGGCACATGCAGAGCCCAGCTGGCACACACGTGTGCCCACAGCCCGGCTGCACTGGCTTATGCATGTGCCTCTGGGTGTCCCTGTGCCTGTTGCTCTGTCTTCCTGTCTTGGCCTCTTCAGAAGCACCTGCATGGTCAGGATCTGTAGACGTCTGACTCTTGGCCACTCGAAGGTTAGCCCTTGGATGAGCTGACCCCCCTTGCCTGGCCACGTCAAAGGCCTCCTCAGGCCATAGGCCATCCAGCCTAAGTCGGCAGAGGAACCTGGTTCCTCCCCAGGGGCAGAAGGTGCTGCGGGAGGTGACCACCCTGAGGCACCTTCTGCCGTGGACTCTGACCCCTCCCGGCACCAGCCCCCTGCCTGCCCACGCCCCCCACCGAGGACAGCAAGTGAGCCCACAGTCACGTGGAGTGACTGCTCTGACAGGCCCGAGCCGGGCAGCCGAGGCAGCAGCACGGGGCTTCGGGGACCCTGAGACCTCAGCCAGCACCGCCTGGGGAGGGAGGAGGATGCAAGCCGGGCCGCCGCCCTGGGCTGTGCGGGAGCCGGGGAGAGGCCAAGGCGGCCGGCGGTCACGGTGCCCCCTCGGCAGTGTGCTCAGGAGCTTCACGGGCGGATCGGGCTGCCAGCCTACCCGCGCAGGAGAGGCCAGAAACAGGAGCCCATGGTCGGTGCCTGGGCCGGGGTGGGGTGCAGGGGGAGGACGCCCCCAGAGCAACCGCGGCCTGAGTGGAGAGGGCAGCTAAGAACCCAGGCTCTGGGGAAGGGCCAGGGGTCGGCATGCCCACCCTGCTCTACTCCACCCCCTCCACCAGCCCTTAGTCTGTAGTCCCTGGGGTGCCCACATCTGCCCAGGCCCTCTCTCCGCTGTCCGCCAGAGCCCCTAGGGGTAGGGCTTGGGCCTGCCCGGCACAGCTCAGCCCACAGGGCCACAGGGATGTCAGGCAGCTGGATTCCTCAGCGTCCTTTGCATAGCAGGACCAGTCATTCCGTCCGGACCAGGGTGGAGGACCCCAGGGGACCCCAAGCCCCCTGAAAGAAAGTGCTTCAGAACTGCCACCATGCAGTTTTCTGGATGTGCCCACCTTAGGCTGGGTGGCATCCAGCAGAACCCACCCCCTTTGCTCCCCCGTCCCTAGATCTGAAGTCAGATTGGCACTGCCATCGGACCCCATGGGTGCTTGGCCCCTGGAGCACCCCCAGAGAGCAGTGAGGGGTGGGAGACGAATCGGGTGCTCTTGTCAGGCCTGGAGGAGGAGAGGCAGCATGGCTGCACTGCGTGCTGCCCTCTGGGGGAGTGCAGGGAAAGGGGGTGCTGGAGCTGCTCCCTGAGAGTGGGGTGTGGGTCCCACTCTAGAGGTCAGGACTTCCTAGGCAGCCTGCCCAGGCCCCAATTCCCACCCCCCTGTGCACGGCGCTGCTGGTCCTGGAGGCGGGGGCCTCCAAGAATAACCACCAAGCCCCTGCAGCAGGGGTGGGGGGACACCCACACACACACCCCAGGCCTGTCCCAGGAACTTCTGCAGGCCACCCCACAGCCCTGGGTGTCCTGTTGGGACAATCACAGCACAGCGGGCAGGGACATCAGCTGTCCTGGAGGGCTTTCCTGGAGGCACTTCTCCCACGGTGCAGGTGTCCCTTGCATACAGCAGGGGGAAGGTCACATCTAGGGGGCGGTCATTGCGAGTTCTAAGGTACGGCTCCCCTGGGGGTCCTGAGTTGGTGGTCTGTGGTCCCCCTCCCCGCTGGACTCGGCCAGGGCCCTGACCCGGGTCTCCCCATGGGCTTGAAGTGACTTCTGCTGTGTGGCCCCTTGGGCAGCACCAAGCCTGCCTCTGTGCACAGCTCTGTGACCACAGGGTGGCATGGGCTCTGGGCCGCCCGACTTCATCCTGCACAGGGCTCAGGAGGGTGCAGAGGCTGGGCACTGCAGACCCTGTGACAGTCACACTGGGCTCCCGGGATGGTGGCCACGTGCCCTCTGCAGGTCACACCACATCCGAGGTCTCAAATTTATTCAGAAGAGGCCGTTTGCCGAACTAAAAACAATGGTTGGTGTCAAGGGGAAGTCACTTGTCTGGGGTCCCAGCGCGTGGGCTCCAGCCTCCTCCCCCCACCCGCAACAGCCCCACCTTGCACCCCTGCCTTACCTTCCCCCATCTCCTTGCAGGAAGTTCTACTACATCACCCTGCTGCGGGACCCTGTGTCTCGCTACCTGAGCGAGTGGCGGCACGTGCAGCGGGGGGCCACGTGGAAGACATCGCTGCACATGTGCGACGGGCGCACGCCCACGCCGGAGGAGCTGCCGCCCTGCTACGAGGGCACGGACTGGTCGGGCTGCACGCTGCAGGAGTTCATGGACTGCCCCTACAACCTGGCCAGCAACCGCCAGGTGCGCATGCTGGCCGACCTGAGCCTGGTGGGCTGCTACAACCTGTCGTTCATCCCTGAGGGCAAGCGGGCCCAGCTGCTGCTGGAGAGCGCCAAGAAGAACCTGCGGGGCATGGCCTTCTTCGGCCTGACCGAGTTCCAGCGCAAGACGCAGTACCTGTTCGAGCGGACGTTCAACCTCAAGTTCATCCGGCCCTTCATGCAGTACAACAGCACGCGGGCGGGCGGCGTGGAGGTGGAGGCGGACACCATCCGGCGCATCGAGGAGCTCAACGACCTGGACATGCAGCTGTACGACTACGCCAAGGACCTCTTCCAGCAGCGCTACCAGTACAGGCGGCAGCTGGAGCGCAGGGAGCAGCGCCTCCGGGGCCGAGAGGAGCGCCTGCTGCACCGCGCCAAGGAGGCGCCGCCGCGGGACGACGCCGACGAGCCGGGCCGCGTGCCCACCGAGGACTACATGAGCCACATCATCGAGAAGTGGTAGTGGGGCGACCGTGGGGCGGGGCCGCGGCCGGGGAGATGGGACGGACCGACGGCGCCCCAAATGCACGGCCCACAAGGGGCTGTGCCCTGAACAGAGAGGGCATGGGGCGGTGGGGGCTGGTGGGCTTGGTGCTTGCTCCTGCCAGCCCAGGGCTCTGAGACGCCAACCCACGCAGCCCCCCGGCCAAAGGAGAAGTACTTGAAGAACGCCCCACCAGGCCTGCACATAGCCCCCTCCTCACTGGCACAGCAGCCGAAGGTTTGACAAGAAAAAGTGGCATCGGCGGAGTGGGCCTGCCAGGCCAGGAGGTCCCCCATGCCCACTGTGCACACCCCCCTCTCCCAGCCCCACCCCTGCCCGGGCCAGCAGGGTTCCAAGACCAGCTCCAAGCACCTTCCCTGGGAACACAGGCAGCCCTTTGAGGTGTCGTCAGGAATGGAACCCCCCGGGTTGCCCATCCCAAGGTCAGGGCCCACCCTTCCAGGCCCAGGGAATCCCACCCCACTCTCTGGCTCAAGGTCAGCACCCACAGTCTGGCTTCACGCTTTGGGTCAGGAAATCGAGACCCATCTCCTGGGAGCTCAGCACCCGTCTGCCCCATCAGACTGCAGAGGGCTGGGGGAGACAGGCCCTCCCTCACGCACTGCCCCCGTCCACGGGCAGACTACGTCCCGGGAGTGGGGAGACTGGCCAGGAGTGCTGCCACCCGGCCTTGGGGAGGACCGCCCCGCCAGACCAGCTCAGGCGGGCAGGGGGCTGGGAACCCGGAGCCCCCGCCTGTTCTCCTTTCTGACCCTCTGAGATGTGTTAGCAGGCTGTCCACAGCCCCAGGCTCCTCACTCAGTCGTTATTCAGGGCACACATCCCACTGTTCCCGTGACCCCATACATAGAGGTACAGCCCCATCCGTTGGCTGGGACACAGCAGACCCAGCTGCTGCCCGTGAGCCGTGACTTGGGGCCACGGTGGCTCTGGATGGCCGGGAAGGGGACTCGGGCCTTCAAGTCTTCAACTACATTTGAGGAGAAACTACCCTGGGTGGCTCTATGGTACCCGGATACACAGGCCCTCCCCTCCCTGGGACCCCTGCATTCCCCTGCACCCCACCCCCACCCCCAGATGGTCAGGTCCTGTTCCCTGCAGCCCAGCAGATTGGAGAAGCCATGTTCCCTATCTGGTACCCCATGCCCTACCCTCCTGGGCTAGATGCCCCCCAGGCAGACCTTCCCCGGTGAGGCTGAAGACCTTTCTGGGGAGCTGAGTGGTAGCCCCACAGCCAAGGTGGATGGGCACCCCGCCTCCCCAGGAGGAAGCACACATGCTGGGGGCCGCGGGCCTGACTCATGGGGGACAGTGAGGGCGATCCTACCAGGGCCCTCTCTTCCCTGCCCCAGGCTCCACTCGGCCTTCCCAGCTGTGCCCCCGTGGAGTTGGGGAGGCTGGGAGGGAGCAAGGGAGCTTCCACAGCACAGGGCACGCTAAGGGGTGGGATGAGGTGGCCACCCAAGAGGCACCAGCTTTAGTCGTTGGCCATCTGGCACAAGGGTCTTCTGGCTTCTTCGGCCAGCCACTTCGTCTTGCAGTCCTGGGCAGGGGGACCAGCAAGCCAGGGTGGGCACTGTGCCAGCCCGGTGTATGCGTCATGCTGAGGTGCGTGCCCAGGTGAGCGGCTCTGAGAGGGGTGGGCAGGTCAGCGTGGGGACTCTAAGGCTCATCTTTGGGGTGGGCGTGCTCCAGGGAGGAGGTGGGGGCTGGCCGAGTCCAGGCCCTGAGAGGAAAGCTCAGCTCTGTTCTGCCTGAGCCCCTGGGCACCCAGCCTGTGGCCTGAAGACAGCTCGAGATGGCTTCCCGTGTGGGCAGCCCTGAGTGTGGGACCTGGGTTGTACATACTGGAGTGTTGCCCCTTACGGCCCATTGTCCCACTTCACACGGGCACACGGGGCTCCTCGGTTTCTCCCAAGCATCTGGAAAGCAGGCCCAACTCGGGCCAGTGCCCAGGCCGAGGGACCCAGAGGCAGCACCGTCTGGCAGGGCGCTGGAGTCCCGGTGCGGCCCCCTGCGCTCAAGCCACCTGCTCCGAGGTGCAGCAGCCCCGTCCACCTGCGGCCTCCTCGACGCCGCGGGCCCGGCCTGCACCTTCCCCTCCCGGGGAGGGACCAGGGGCGGCAGAACAGTCCAAGCAGTGAGTCTGTGAACTTTTTGGGAACTGGAAGTGTTTAACTTGAACCCAGGAGCGTTTAAAGCTTTATTTATTTATAGCTTCTTATTAAAAAAAAAAAAGTGTTGAGAAGAAATCTTTTGGTTATTCATACAAAAAAATGAGTTGATGGAAAAGTCAGTCATAATCATCTAATTGTTTTTGTCTAGGTCAAGAATGAATGTTAGCAGATGAAATAAACCTGAAAAGGAGCCACGGGTGCCCTGTGGTCTGTGTAACGTAGCCTCCGCTCAGCGTGGCCCGGCCACCAGCCAGGTGATTTCCAAGTGAACACCTGCGGGCACCGGAGCTGGCGCAGGCACAGGGGCCCTGTGGGCTGGGGTTCACACTCGCCGAGGAGTGCCCCATGGGAGTGAGAGCGTGACGGTCATCACCCCGAGTGATTCACTAACCGTTAATTACAGCACGTGGAAAGGGGAGGCCGAGAGAGAGGCAGGCACCACAGGCCGACTCGCAAACCTCTTCCCCCTCAACTTTGTATCTTGAAAGTGCAGATGACCAGTTGAAAGAACAGTCCATGGACACCTACGAAGCCCTGACCCGCATCCACCTGGACTGACATCCCGTCACGTTTGGTTACCCTGCACACACACGCTCACACACATGCAGGCACACGCACGTACACAGGCACACGTTTCTCTGAAACATTTGAAAGCAAGTTGCAGTCCTCAGGATACTTCTAAATGTTTCAGCATGTGCCGCCTAAGAATGCCATTCCGCTACAAAAACTGCATTACTATCCCCAAAATTTAACATGAATACAATGTTAGCCAGTATACAGAGCATATCCAAATTTTGCTGTTGTCCCAGCACGTCTTAAGACATTTTTGTGACCAAGGACAGCACAGGCCCCGCCGACCTGCGCCCCCGCCCCCTTCACTTTCTCTAGGGCTGACGTCTCAGCACGGCCAGTTAGCGGTCTGCTGACGGGTCTGCACGGGCATGTTTTCTCCGAATCAGATTCACTGAAACACTCTGGGCACAAACACCACAGGGGATGTGGTTCCACCCCTGACACTGACAGTCTAGTTCTCTGTCTCGCGGGACAGAGGGCCCTCGCTCAATTTCTGGCTCCTGATGTGACCCCAGGGCCCACAGGAGCGGCCGCTCACTGCTGTTTGTTCAGGAGGTGGGCCTGTAGCACTCGGAAGGGGGCCAGCTGTGGCTGGACGCCGTCAGGGCCGGGGCTCCAGGGAGGCCCAGCAGGCTGCGCTAGCCCCTGGTGATCACAGGCAGGACTCTAGAGAAGCTGCCTGGGACACAGTGGCTCCGACTTCAGAGCCTGGGGGGGTTCCTTTTCTCCCCTCCTCCCAGCATCTCTGTCTGGATTCTCCTGCTTGACGCCTGTCTAGGTGGGGAAAGAGTAGGAGGCAGGGGCAGGCGGACCAAGGCTCCCTCCCTCAGCTGCCTGCAGACGAGCCATGGGGTGGAGGAAGGGCACATAGAAACCCACGGCAGTCCCCAGGGTGCAGGTGGCATTTCCAGTCCCCGGAGCTTCCCTACGTGGGAGAGAGACCGCCAGCTGCGCGCCCCACCCAACACCAGCGCTCAGACCCAAATGCACGCAGAAAGCAGTCCTCTGAGTGTGGGAGGCGCCTTCTTCACTAACAGCCTTGCTGGGGGTTGGGGGGCAGACAGCCAGGCCGAAGCTGCATGGAGAGGCCTGCGTGCACCCCGGCTGTTCCCTGTCCGTGTGGCTTGAATCTCTGCTACCTCGGGGACCCACGGTGGTGTCCTCCACTTTGCGGAGGCCAGAGCCTCGATGAGACAGAGGGGAAATCAGTCCTGAAAATGCCTTCCCTCAAAGATTAGGGCCTTCCCAGTCCAGCCTCTATTTAAAGCCAGGGGCGACCTTCAAGTCTGAGCCTGAGACCAGGCGGCCCCGCTCCTGCCCAGCCCTCACTCCCTCCTACCTGCGGTAGCCCCGGTCAGCCCAGCCTGCTGCCCACCCGCCCCCAGGGCCTCCCCTCCCACCCTGCTGGCCAAGCCCACCTCCATCTGGGGGCCCATCCACCGCAGTGCCAGGAGCAGCGGCTGCGGACACTCCCCCCCAGCCCCTCCCCCCCCCACCTGCTGCAGGGCCTGTCCTCACACAGCACTCCGTGTGCGGGCCTGCTGCCTCTTCCTGGGGGAAAGTCGCCCCGTTTGCAGTGGCACAGAGAGAAGCACATGCTCCCAGACCAGATCACAGGCCCCTCTGCCCTGCACCCCATCGGCTGACAGGCCTTCCCCAGCAGGCTTCTGCCCAGTGGGCCAGCCTAGCATGGAGGGCCAGGGAGAGCCTGGTCTTGGCGCCCTCCGGCAGCCACAGGGAGCCCTTCCCAGCGGGCGTGCACAGCCTTGGCCTGACCGCTCTGAGCTCAGTGCAGCCCTCCAGCCCCGCCGCCCCTCTGTGAAGGGTAAGTCTGCCCTAAGGGCCCGCCTGTTCCGGGAGAAGGCCAGGGCCACGGCGCTACCTTCATCTCTGTCTCCAGCCCAACCTCCGACGGCGGCTGGGCAGGGGCTTGTGAAGGGCAGAGCCTGCTGCGTAAGCAGTCATGCTGGGTACCAGCTCTGGGTGGTGACGGGGCCCCTCCACTTTGCGCGGGAGCATCATGTAATGTATATGAACGTCAGATCACTTCACCTGTGATTAATATAATACTGTATGTCCACAATAGGTCTATTAAAAATGTTTATAAAAATTTTTAAATACAAGTTTATCCAAAAGGCGGAGCCCTGACCACAACCAACTGAATCGCACCCACTCAAATTCAAATTCAAATCCAAATCACACAACTCAGTTCAATAGCACCCGGCCAGTTCAAGGCCGTGGGGCCCACGTGAGGTACTCCACCTGCCTGCCCTGTCCACCCCCACCTGGCCAGCCCGTCTCCCTCCCTGCCCCTAGGGCCTGGGCAGGCCACCCACACGTCACCCACCCTCAGTCCTCGCCAGCCCAGCCCAGCCACCCAGTCCTGGGGTGTATCCACCGCAGCCTCAGCTTTCAGGAGGGGCCTAGCTCCTGGGCAGGCCCAGAGGAGGCCTCTGATGTACACAGCGCTACCTAGACTTGCCCCAAAACATGCCCTTTTTTAAAGAAGCTGCTCATATTCTGACTTTAAGTTTCTATCCCTTCTGGAGAGTAATTTTTTGAGTTTGTCCTTTTAAATTAACAATCTCCCATTTAGAGCCAGTGTGTAGGGGGTCCCCCCATATCCCCCTCTGCTGCTTCTCCTCTCTGGGTGGTGTTGGGGTCCCGGGGACACTGCCTCCACCCCTCCCCCAGCAGGCACAGGCTCCTCCCAGATGCCGCCGTCAGCCCTGGGGGGCCTGCTCTCTGTCTAAACTCATCACAGTGCCATTTCCACTGCCCACTGGCCCTACCTGCGGACACACAGCTCTAAGTCCGAGCTGGACGGCATGACCCCCTCTCTGCTTTGTGCTCAGCCTGTCCTCGCCGTTTCCAATGCCCGGCACAGGCCACAGTCCCGGAGCCCCCCACCCCACAGCCGGCCCTTCCCACAGGCCTGTCCTGGCCAGCGCCACCCTCTCACCCCTCTCTGCAGCTCACTAGAACTCTGCGGTTTCTCGGTGAAAAGCAGGCTGGTGACTGTGGGAAACGCTTTTCTTTTTCAAACAAAAAGCCAAGCAGCCTCTCCGGGACTCGGACTCGAGGGAGCCGGCCTGGAGCCCCGGGCTGTTCTCGGTGGGGCCCGCCCTCCCCCCAGACGCTGCAAGGCTCACTCGGGTTCCCAGGCGCTCCAGACAGCACTGCGAAGGGCCGAGCACATGGGGTGGCGCTTCCACAGTGCCACCTCCGGGGAGCAGCCTGGGCTGTGGCCGAGCCTCTGCACCGCGGCCACTCTGAGGGGCTCTGGCGAGACGGGCTTCCAGGGAAATCAGGCTTCTGGCGGCGGAGGCCGGCCTCTAGAGCTCACACACCGCTCCCCAGGCAGCAGGGCAAAGCCAGTGGGACCCTGGGCTTCTCGAAGGAGCTGGTGGAGAGGAACCACCCAGGAGTGGCCGGGAGGATCCGCCGATTTGGTGCTCCATGCAGAAGCGATTTGTCTGCTTCAAAGGATGTGAAACCTGGGCACTGCAGGAGAGCCTGAAGTTGTCTCTCGGTGTTTGTCCTCCCCTCCCCCCACAGCAATAGACCTCCAGGTACCAGTGGGAGCACAGCCAACCAGGGTCAAGGCCGCACCTCCCAGCCCCTCACAAGAGATGTGGCTCCACCACTAGACTCTGGCCAACAGAGAGCAGGAGATCCTGAAAGAAAAGCAATGGGCTCTTCTTCCTCCCTTCCTCCTACCTAATGACTAGAATAAGGATGTGATAGCTGGAGGTCAAGCAGCCATTCTGATCCATGATATCAAAGCCTGGTGTCAAGGACGGTAGAGCGACAAGAAGACTCCTGAAGACTGGAGCCCTACCAGCTTTGGGCTGCCCACCTCAACACTTTATCCACGTAACACAACTGGACGCTGCAGCCTAGGTGGCAACAGCTCTGCTCCACCAACTGCTGGAGACGCCCTGCTCCAAGGCTGCCTGCCTGCTGCTCCCGGCTTCACACACAGGGAGGTGCTCCGGGGCAGAGGGGACTTCTTCCGGGATACCCTTTTGTACCTTTTGAATTTTGAAACATGTGAAAGGATTGCCTGTTCAAAACATAGATGGCTGAAAACAAAAACAAAGCAAAATAGAAGAAGAAAGCTAAATTCATAGCTGGATTTTCTCTTTTGAGTTTGCAGAGCACACAAGAGGTGGGCCTTGGGCTGGGGGAATAAGGAAACTTCAACTTTATCTGTAACATTGTAGGTGTTATAGTTAGAAAACTAGGCAAATAAAAGCAACTCTCTTTTCAGGGTGGTGGGCACCCTGTCATGTTATGCTCTGTATGGTTTTATACTTCTCAAAATGAAATCATCATTGTGAAAGACCTGACATGAGGCCGGCATAGAAGCTCAGCCTCCAGGCCCGGATGCAGGAAGGGACCGGCGCTGACAGCAGTGGGGCGCAGGGACTCAGGGCTCAGAGCGCTTATTCCACACCATCCTGCTCAGGATTAATCAGGGTAATCCTGAAAACGTCTGGATTCCTTCATTCCTGAAAGGTATTTTCACTGGGTATGGGATTCTGAATTGTGGTTGTTTTCTTTCAGCGACTGAAAAATATTATGCCTCATTCTTCTGGCCACCATAGTTTCTCTAAGAAATCCACTGTCATTCGGATTGTTTTTTTCCCTATAGGTATAATGTGTTATTTTTCTCTGTTTTTAATATTTGTTCTTTGTCTTCAGTGTTAAGAGATTAGATTATGATGTGTCTTGGAGGGAATTTCTTTGAGCTTGTCCTATTGAGCATTCACTCAACTTCTTGAATCTGCACATTTATGTCTCTTGCCAAATTTGAAGTTCTCAGCCAGTATTTCCTCAAGCCCTGAGCCAGCCCTGCCCCCTTTCTTCTCTCCCTTCAAGACTCAGATGGCATTAATGAAAGATCTTCTGCTATAGTCCCATAGGGCCCTGAGGCTCTGTCCCAATTTTATTTTTTTAATCTGCTTTTTCTCTCTGTGTTCACATTGGGTACTTTCTATTGTTTTGTCTTCCAGGTCACTGTTTCCTCCACCTGTCCCCTCCATTCCCCACCTGTCCCCTCCACTCCCCGCCTGTCCCCTCCACTCCCCGCCTGTCCCCTCCACTCCCCGCCTGTCCCCTCCACTCTGATTGAGCCCATCCACTGTGCTCTTTGTTTCTGTTACTGTGTTTTCAATTGTGAAATTTCCATCTGGCTCTTCTTACATCATCTACTCTTTGTGGAGAGTTTCTATTTTTTTTTTAATATCTTTTTTAAGAATGTTCACAATTGTTCACTGAAACACTTTTATCATGGTTGCTTTAACAATCTTTGTCAAATAATTCTTATAGCCCTATGTCTCACCAGTGGGTTTCAGCCCCAGGCCTCTCCACCACCTTGCAGCCCCACAGCCCCACAGCCCAGGGCAGAGCTTTTTATAGAGAGTCAAAATAACTCATTGCCCACACATGTGCAAGCCTGTGCCTGTAAGCATTGTATGTGCCCAGGGGCAAGCAGACCAGGGCCAGGTGAGGATCCTGGCCATAGAACTTCCATTGTCCCCCCTCCAGGATTCTCACCTCACAGTCTACCCTCCCTGTATCTTCTGCAATGGTCCTTGTGCAAGAAAGCTGGAACACTGTGACCAAATTCCACAATAACAACAGAGGCTACAATAATATACAAATAACTACAAAAACTATGCTACAGACAGCAACAGAAATTATGATACTCCTCAAGCCTGAGATCAATTGCCACCAAGTGGTCATTCCAACTGTATTCAAACCAGTTCTACTCAGATGAGTTCATGACTCAGTTTCCCTGCACACCCAGCAAGCATAGGAAAATCTTGTCCATCAGGTAGGATGCATGCAAGAGAGCGGTCCTGTGATAGGACTGTGGCAGGAAGGGGGTCCCGTCTGGGTCTAGTGTACCACACCTTTACCCCTTTCCCTGTGGGGCTTACTGAGGGGTCTATATAGAGTGCTACTGGAGGCACATGGACTAGCTATAAAGATAAAACAAAACTCCCCAGTAAGGTGCTCCTACCTTCCAGCCATTTAGGATACACTACTGTGAGCTTCTTCCAAGTCTGCTACCATATGGGTAACCTCACAACCGTCCTAAGGGTCAAGAATGGCCAATAGGGGCCCAAAGAGGGACAGGGGAACTGTTTGAAGCACCACATTTCTATTCCCTACAGTAAAAGGCTCCTCATCTGGGCCATTATTCTCTGGACCATAAACGGCATTTTTCATGCCTAACACCAGTTAACACCTGTTAGAGCATGGCATACTTCTGCCATCTAGTGGGAGAAGATGGTAAATCACCCTGATTGGGCCATACATCACGAAGGGTGACCATAATCCAAGTGGGAGGGAGTGATTTTCTGGGGTCTGATGCATATTTTGCAATCGCTGCCGCAGGGCAGGCTGAGAAGCCAGTTTTCCCATTTCTAACTGGGACACAATAATTCCATCAACACCTACATTCCAAAGATGCAGAAGCTAAGCTTATATTGACTCCGAGGGCTTTTGCCAAAACCAGGAGCCCAAATCCACTGGCTCAGCCTGAGTATAGGGGTGGAGTATAGAGTGCTCCACGACCTGGGGAGGGGGCTGCACCTCTTCCTGAGGAGCCCACGCTTGCTGTGTCTTTATTTTCTTGTCTACAACCAGGCAGGCTTTCAACCAGCTCAACTCCCACCCCCTCATCAAATCCAGCTCCTGGTTGATTTGGGGGCTGACAACACCACTACACCCTTCACCTCCCCCGCAGCACCTCGCAGCCTCCATTCTTGAGCTTTCTCTTCTCGTGCTACCACTACATCCTTTACCGTCGCCACAACACCTCGTAGCAACACCATCTCAGTCATCAACAGATTGTTTGCTTCCTTCACGGCCCCTCCCAGCTCGCATTCCCCCCCGCTGCCTCCTCGTGGGCTCCTCCCAGGTGTTCCTTCTACGTGGCCTTTTCTAAAACAGGAATAGCCAGCCCAGGACCTCCACTGCCTCACAGGCACTCTGTTTCTCCAAGGATCCCCCAGTCTCATGGAGGGCCTGGAGCACTGCCTCAGGCATCAGCTCGACCTCTCCCAGTCCTGGGGGGGGGCCCCCTCCTTCGGGAAGAAAGCCCCCTTGGCCCACACGCCCCTTATCATCACACCTAAGGGGGTGTCCCCATTGGGAGACACCTTAATTCCTCAACATCCACAAAGGTTTCCTGCAGTACTTCCCCAGCCATCAGGGCGCCCTGCTGAGGCACCCCTCCCGGGAGGGCAGCTTACCCTGGTTTTTTTCCGGCCTGCAGTGAATCCTGCCAGTGACGCTAGTTGTCTCACGGATGGGTTTCAGCCCTGGGCCTCTCCACCGCCTCCCAGCCCCACTGCCCCACAGCCTGGGAGGAGCTCTTTAGAATCAGTAATGACTCATTGCGCACACGTGTGCCAGCCTGCACCTGCGAGCATTCCACGTGCCTGGTGAGCAAGCAGACGAGGTTCAGCTGAGAATCCTGGCCATGGACCTTCCATTTTCTCTACACCCTGTCATGTCAGTGTCGGCAACTATGTAGTGATTGCCTTTTTCATTCAGCTTAAGATTTTTCTGGTTCTTGGTATGATGAGTTTTCTATCGAAACCTGGACATTTTCACATAATCAGACTCTGCGTCTCCTTTAAACCTTCTTTCTGTTTTTGCTGGCTGTCACGCCACCGCTCTGGCGGGGAATAGGAGGGTGCTCTCGTCACCACCAGGTGGAGGGGGAAATTCAGGTTCTTCATCTGGCCTCTCTTGACACCTGAAATGGGGTGCTCATTACTGACACTTAAGGGGGTGCTTGTTACCAGCCAATGGGGATGACCTGGCTCCCTGCCTGACCTTCTCTGACGTCACCCCAGCAGGGATGATGACGCCTCATTATAGTATGGAATCCCCACATGGCCTTTGCCGGTAGGGGTGGGGTGGGGCCGCAGATTTTTCTAGTGTTTGGCTGGAGTCATGTGCCTGAGAGTTTTCTGTTAAAGGCTGCCCCTTTCCTGGTCTTTTGCTAAGATTGGGCCTTTTTTGTCTATGTCCATTGGAATTTCTGGGTTGCTGGATGCTTCTGCTCAAATTCTGGGAAACATGAGTCAGAAAGAAAGCCCAGGCATTTATTACCACGTCATTCTGTGGGCCTCAGGGCCTCAGGGTCCCAGGCTGGTCCATCTTCTTTTCTCTGTTTTTAGCGTCTAGATAGACAATAAGATAGATGATAGACATAGGTATCTAAGGAAAGATACAGATATCTATGCTATACGTAATACTCTATATCTCTATCTCTATCACCGTATCTGTAAAATATCCAGTGTTTTGAGTCTTACGTAGCAGGAGAGGTAGGGAAAGAATGCTCACACCTAGGGGGGCGCTCACTACCAGCCAGTGGGGATGAAAGTCCCGGCTCCTGACGTTGGCCGAGCGCCTCTGAACATGGTTATTCTTAACACAGGACAAGCATCAACTTTCCTATGGTCAACTTGCTCCAGGCAGAAAGACCTCGGGCACAGTCCCTGCAGCCAAAATGACGATGACATCAGGTCCTTGCTGCTCCCACCTTCTGCCAGCAGCCCCAACTCAGGACTGCGCCTGCAGCAAGCGTTGGCTAGAATGGACCAACTTCAGGCCCAGGAGCTCCCGACATGCTGAGTATTTGACCTTCCCCAGACACAAGGCCAGCACCATCGACTGGCAAGCCCAGGTGAGAGGCAGGACCACCCGCATGCCGTCCTCTGCCACTACCTCTGTGCATTGCTTCTCAGCTCATTTACAGGACCTGCTCCTCCTAAGGCCGCTGTGAGCTGTGTGACTAGCCTCTGCTGCATGGGGTCTGGCCTCCTGTCAGCGCTGGGCCACCGCGGGACCTTGTCAGAGGAGGTCAAGTGACAGGAGGCACTGAGTCAGAAGGTGGGGCCCATGGGCTCAGCCTCAGCCAGCCTCTGCTCACACTCTGAAGAACCAGGAAGAAGGGGCTCATCCTGGCCAGTCCCTTGGCCATCACTCTGGTCCTGAACTTACCAGCCCTGTAACCGCTGTGGCAGGTCTCCCTCCAGCAACTCCCCTGCCAGCCCTGGGGCAAAACCCATATCCTCATGGAGCACTTGTTTCCACTGCAAATTGAGGGGTCGGATGACATCAGCAATGCAGGCAGACATCTGTACTGGACGATTACTGGCTCTAGGACCACAGGGGCAAGTCTCCTAGGGTCCCAGGGACACTGACCTCCAGCTGCCCCCTACAATTCCTCATTCACTTACTGGAGCTTCTGGGGTCACCCCCTGGATACACTGCTCATGGCTGCATCCTTGCCCCAGGTCTGTCTCTGGGGAAACACACACCTGAAGACCCCAATTCCAGGGCAGCCAGACACCCTCTTTCTCATTGCTTCCTGAGATGCAGCCCCAGCAGGACTAGGGGGACAGAAGCCAGCACCCCCACCCCACATCCCCACATTCAGCCTCGGGGTCAGGCCTGCAGGAGCCAGAGGTCTGGTGTGGCCAAGAGCAACCACCTTGCAAGGCTCCGGGCTGGCACTGAGCCAGCCTAGTGGCCACTACAAATGGTTTCCTTTATCCCGGTGTATTCAGGCAGGTCCCTGGACAGAAATAAAGGGCGGAGGATGAGGGATGGGGCAAGTCATGCCCACTCATGCCCACTCGAAACAGCTATCCCTGCCCTCGGCCAGCCCACCCAGAGGAGAGGTGCCCCAGGAAAGGGCAAACTGCAGCCATGAGGGTCACGCTATGCATGCTGGAGGCTGTAGGGTCACGCTATGCATGCTGGAGGCTGTAGAAGTGCATATGCTGTGTCTGTTCCATGCTATACATATTAAATGCTGTGTATGTTACATGCTATAAATGTACACATGGCATGTTTATTACATGAAATTGTTTTGTATGTTGCATGCTCTTACTTGCTATGCATAGCATTGCTCTTGTGTTATGCTTTGTATTACATGTTATGTGCTATACATACATGCTGTTACATGTGATGTTATTCACTGTTCCATGCTGTTATATGCTGTACATGTAATGCACAGTTATGAGTTATCTGCTATACATGAACACACAGTATGTGTTATGCATGTTTTATGCTATATGTGGTACATGTTATGTATGTGACATGCAACTCTTTGCAGACACTGGCCAGCTGAGCCCCCTCTCCCAGGAGCAGGTGCTGCTGGCCACGGCAGGCCATCTCTCTCCCAGTCTCATTCCCTCCACTCCCAGCTCTGCCTGCCAAGGTGGTGCTGCAAGACCCCAGGCCAGGCCCCTTAGGAGTGACAGGCCATTCTGTCACCAGGCCCCTTAGGAGTGGGCAGCCTGCGCTCTCAGCCGGGCCCAGTGACTGAGTGGCCCACAGCATGGGACCTTTGTCTCAATTTGCTTATCCATTCACCTGTTGGGCATGTTCACATTTTTAGCTATTTATGAACACAATTGCTATTAAACTATTCACGTGGGCATGTTTTTATTTCTCTTGGGTAAATACCAAAGAGCAGAATTCCTAGGCCATATAAAAGTGCATTTTTACTTCACAAGAAACTTCCAGTTTCTCAAGTGTCTGAGCTGATTCACCCGCAGACAGCCGGCATCAGTGTCCGTGGCTCCGCATCCTTGCTGACCTTTGCTGAGTCAATCTTTTCGACTGTAGTCATTCTGGCAGTTGAGAGCGGGGTCTCCTGTGGTCTCTGACTTTTAGTGCCCAGGTCAGTGATGGTGCTGAGTGCCTTTTCATATACTTACGAGCCATCTGGATCTCTTCTTTTGCGAAATGTGTCCTTTGCTTATTTTGTAAAAAATTGGGTTGTCTTTTTCTTATTAACACATAGGAATTGTTTATCTAGTCTTGATAGGAACCCTTTGTCAGATGTAAGTATTCATCTTCTCCCAGCCTTTGGCTTGACTATTTACTCTCTCGATGAAGAGAAGTTCCTAATTTTAATAAAGTCTAAATTATTAATTTTTTGTGTTTGTGGTGTTTTTGTGGGTGTGAGGGTATGTTCTTTTCCTACATATATGTATAAACAATAACAGTATGATACACAACAGTAATAGTGTGACTCCATAGGGATTCCCAGACCCGATTCCAGTGTGTGTAAGGAAGTGGGAGGAGGTCTTCCCACACGTAACACCAGGCAATCCTCCAACACCAGCAGGATGTCGGAGAACTCAACCCAGTTCTGATGCTGTCTGCGCTGGGACGCACCAGATTCCCAGGCTAAGGGCTCCATCCTACAGGACTGCCCTCTACCCACCACTCCAGACACTGGTCACAGGCCCCAGGCAGCCGCTCAGGTTCCCAAAACCTCCCCATTAGGTCTGATTAATTTGCTAGGGCGGCTCACAGAACTCAGGAAAACACTGACGTTTACCAGTTTAATAAAGGATACAAGTTAACAGCCGGGTGAAGAGAGACAGAGGGCAGGGCCCCAAATAAAGTACCTTCGGTCTTTGTGGAGCTTGGGGCCTGGCTCGGTGGCATGTGGAGGCGTTCTGGCTCCCCAAGCACAGACGCTCTGCCCGACTGAGAAGCAGGATCCAAGATGGGAGAGAGCAGTAAACTCCTCTCAGGGGTTTTATGAGGGCTTCACTGCAGAATCAGGATTGACTACATTATTCACCATTGGCTGATTCAACCTGCAGCCCCCGTCCCTGGGTGGAGGTCCAAAAGTCTCTCATTAACATGACAAAACACCCATTTCATCTGCAGTATTTTCAGGAACTGTGGATGAAGACCAAATATACCTGGGAAATATGTATTTCTTATGACTCATTATATTGCAGTGGGGTTTTTTGCTGAGTAAATGTAAGCATACATGCTATGTAATCCTTCCAGGAAGCCTCCTTAAAAAGGATAGGTCATAGTTTTCATCTTCCTTTCCTCTATCCTGCTGCCTGGTACACATATGTGATGACTGGTGCACTGGTAGCCATGGGAGCCAAAGGAGTTGATCTTGAGAAAGGAAGCCACAAGACAGCAGGAGCCTGAGACATCAAGAGGACACCATCCTAGCCCTAAAACTGTCTATTTCCAGACTTCTTTTATATGAGATGGAAATAAATTTCTATCTTGTATAAACCTCTACTGTTAAGGACTTTGTTCCTCATGGTTGAACCTAATCATAACTGATGCACAAAGATCAGTGAGCAAACTCACTAATTACCTTTCTATTTTCACTCCACTTTCAGAATTTCTCTACATCAGGAGGTCTTGAGAACTTGTTGCCCATCTGAACCAACCAGCAAGCTCATAATAGGGATGTCCATGATTCAGGTTAGGCCTGAATGGGAGGCCAGGCACCCTGTTTTTCAAATAGGATATAGTCTCCCCGGGGGTACTCTCTGTGGGTTGTCAAGGGTGAGAACTTGTGTTTCAAGTCAGTGCTTTATTCTTGGCTTGAAAGTGGGAGCAAAAAGGTCTGGTCTAGGCAGCTGAGTTTTGGCCTCTGGTAAGAAATGGACCAGTGCAGAGATTTATGAAGTAGAATTCAACTCAGAGAAGCTCTAACTCATGCCTTCACTGCCAGCCAGCCGAATGATCTCGCCTAGTGTGTGTATGGAGTGTGGGTGAGCTTCCCTTCAGGGGTCACCGAAGTGCTTTGCCAGCCCACCAGTCCCACTGCGGCCCCTATCTGGGGCGGATGTTCATGTTCAGAGGCAGAACCAGAGGCTCCCAAACTCCCCCAGCAGCGCCCTTCCTCGAGTCTCAGACACCGACGGGGTCCGTCTGTGAAGTTCAGGCCAAACCACGCACCAGGTGTGTACCTGCTGGTAACCAGGCAGCTGTCGGGCGCCACACACACGAACTGAAAGCTCTTCTTACTTCGTCTCGGATTACCTGCCGTGATTCCCGACGCGGTGCGTGGGCTCGCCCGCTGCTGCTCAGCCTCCGACTGCCCCTCCGCGAAGGCCGCGCCGGCGAAGGGCGGCCTCGGCCAGCAGCAGTGGCCCGCAGGGCTCTGCACGCCCGAGCCGAGCCACAGGAATCGGTAAGGGGCTTGGAGCCCAGGCAGGCCTGCCCGGGGCCCGCTCCGATGGCCCCTGCACAGTGAGCGCGCCGCGCCCCCGGCCCCTTCACGGAGGCGTGGGGGCGCCCGGGGGGCGGGGGTGGCCTGGCACGGAAACCCAGCCGCTCGGTCCTGGGGGGCCCTGGGCGGGGTTGACGCCCAGGGGACCCAGCAGGTGCTCTGTAAGGCGTTAGAGGAATGACTGCACAGAGAGGAGACAAGAAAACATATGCAATATTCACAACTCCCATATTTCAAGTGAGAATATAGGCTGTTTTTCTTGTTTTTTCTGCATCAAGATTTTCTAAACTATACAGTGAAGTTTTCTGTAAGTTTTCTAAACGACACACCAGAGTAAACCTAAAGCAGTGGTTGCCTCGCAGAGCCCTGCATTCCTCCCCAGGGAAGGGGGCAGACGTCTGAATAAATGTGTCCCAAACCCCGGGCCCAGGGCCCGACGAGCTGAGCAGATGGGAGCGCAGAGCTGAGCACAAGGCAATAGGGAGTGGTGGGGACTGCAGAGAACCGGCGGTTCCGAAGGAGGCCGCTCCCCCAGCTCCGGCTGCTGCTGCGATCACCCCGAGTCATCATGGGTCAGTCCCGACCGAGGTCAGGAACAGAGGAGGCCAAGCCCAGTGCGACCGCAAGCGGCGGCCGCCGCTCCCCCAGGCGGGCGGGGCAGGAGCGGCGCGGGGGCCACCCTCCGGCTGCAGACTCCCCTCTCTGCCACGGCCCCAGAGCCCAGCACAGGCGGGTGGCGCCGCGAGGCATGTCGCCGGCACGGCAAAGAGCTGTCCAACCTCAGCAGGCGGGGAGAGGGGTCTGGGGCGGCAGGGTGCGTGGAGGGTGTGAACGAGCATCACTATGGAAAGCATACCAGTGGGGGTATCTTTGCCTTAGAGAAGGCAAAGATTTATTTTAAAAGAGCATAAACCAAAAAGGGAAAAATTGATTTTTTTAAATGGTCTACATTAAAATTAAATTGTTCTGGTTTATAAAATAGACACCGGAAAGAAAATGAAAACAAACGGGGGAAAAATGTGTTTGTAATACAAACACTTGAAAAATAATTCATACCCCGAATATATTTCAAAAAGAAAAAAAGCAAGGCTCTGAACCAAGAAGGGTCAGAACTCAGAGGCTCACACCCAAAACGTCCTACTTCCCTGAAGAGGAACCAGGAGGCCCATAAACGTGTGAAAAGATGCCTCACCTCATTTGTTTCTAAGGAAACATAAATTAAAACAATGACATGGAATCCCACACTTGTTAGATTAGCAAAAAATAAAATCTCTGTTACTGTAGTGTTTGGAAAGACTTAGGGAAGAAGACCTTTCAAACCCAGTGAACATGTACAACGGAGCCCCCATGTGGACCACAGCTTGGCACCTATAAAGGTATCTAATAAGGGTGCCGGGCCCCCAGTTCCACCCCACATGTACATGCAGAGAGAACCGCAAGCACACGGGCACCAGGACAGTGTAAGAACATGTGTGCAGTCACCTTGTCTGTAAGAGCAAAACACCTGGAAGCAACCCAAGTGGCCGTTTACTGCAGAGGGAGTGGGGAGCAAACGGGCGAGTCCCCACGGCACACTAGTAGTCAGCGAGGGAAAGTGGAGGCCTGCACACACACCATGAGCCCCAGAGCTGATGTCTACACTGCCTGACACACACAGAGGATCCACGCACACCAAGTTCAAAAAAATCAGTAAAACTACGTTATCTTAAACCAGTGTTCCTCAATGTTTCGTTATCACGTCCCAAAGGAGTCTTCTTAAACATTGTTTTTCCTAAAATGCCAGCCTCCCATGGAATTTTAATTCCAATACACCACATACCTGTTCTTATACTGTAGCTCTTTGGGACACCATGGACCCCTGTGACACCTATGGGTTTTTTTGGCCTCCCTCCAACCAAGAACCAATTTTCCCCCATTGGGACAATACTATCCCTATTGAAAAATGCCTAAGTTAAACCACATGAAATCTCCTATATTCAGTTTCACATGGTTCAACCAATACATTGCTTTGAATTACATATTCGGAAGGAAAACTAAAGAAAAGTAAAGGAATGATTAATACAAATTTGGAAATATGCTAGCCTCCGGTAGGGATACAGGGGCTGTCATCAGGGAGGGGCTTTCCAGGAGAGGGGGCTCCTTCCAAAGCACCTGTACTGTTCTTCTCAACCTCGGTGAGATACACATTGTTTTATTATGAATCTTTAAACTGAACAGATGCATTTTATACACTCTGCTTTGTATAAAGCATATTTCAAAATTTTTAATTTAAGAAGAATGTGGTAAAAACACCACACATGTGTATTATGTGTTGGTCGTGTTTCTAAGCAAACATTTGTTTAACACCCAACCCCTTCCAGTTGTGTAATCGTGAGCAAGCTCCTTCATCTGTATGTCTCACATTCCCCACTTATCAAAAATGGGGACAAAAACAGCATCTACCTAAGTGGGGTACCATGAAGATTAAGTGTCAATTCACTTCCGGTGCGGGACAATGCCTGCCATACTGAGCCAGGCTACAGTCCTGGGAGGGCTTCCTGAGCAGCCCACAGACCTCACTCCCGGGAATCCGGTATGGGGGGAGGCTCTGTGATCTGAGCCAAGCTCAGCAGTTGAGCCTCCCTGACGCCCTCCTAACTGGCTGTACTATGGAGCTATACTGGAACCCACCTGGAGGTCCAGGCTGTGACCTGCGGCCAGGGGTTATTCTATCAATCCACACCAAAGGGACCATCAGGAACAAACCTGTGAACCGTGGCCCCAGAAACACACTCGTTTGCTCATTCTTTCATTCCCTCAACCGTCTAGGATACCCCTCAGGACTATTCTTGCACCTGAGTTGGACTAGAGGGAAGGCACTTTGACAGCCCAAACCTCCATCCTCAGGAGGCATGCCTGGTACGCTGGCTCTGGCTCTGCTCTGCCTCCAGTCCTCAGTGACAGGACAGAAGACGGGCAAGACCCATACTCCAACTCCATACAGTCCAAAGCACTGCTGAAGTGAATTAAAGAACACCTCAATAATGGAGAGATGACTGTGTTCATTGACTGGAAGACTCGATGCTGTTGAGATGGCAGTTCTCCCCAAAATGATCAAAGAGTAATGCAATTGTAATCAAAATCCCAAAAAGTTTTTTTGTAGAAATTAACAAGATGATTCTAAAATTTATATGGAAATACTTAGACTTAACTCTGAAAAAAAGACTTAAATCACTCGATCTTAAGACTTACTAGAAAGCCACAGAAATCAATCCTGTATGATAGGGATGGATGTGAAGATAGACACACAGATAAATGGAACAGAAGAAAAGAGTAGAGAACAAACCCATATATACGTATATAGTCAATGACTTATCAACAGAGGTGCCAAGGCAATTCAACAGAGAAAAGAACATCTTTTCAACAACCATACATACGCAAAAAAAGAAAAAGAAAGAACCCTGATCTTTATGCCATATACAAAAATTAACTTTGAATGGATCATAGATTAAGTGTAAGAGTTAAAAGTATACAATGTCTAGAAGAAAACAGAGAAAAACTTAAGTGACTATGGCAGTTTTAAAGAAGTGTTCAAAAATTCTCTGATATTCCTTCTTTCAAGGTGTGGAGCTTACTTTTATTCAATATAGTACTAGAAATCCTAGTCACAGTAATCAGGAAAGAAAAAATAGAAAACAATTCCAGTTGGTAAGGAAGAAATAAAACCATCACTATTGACAGATGACATGATACTATATATAGGAAACCCTACAGTCTCCACCAAAAAACTATTTGAATAGATTCAGCAAAGTTGCAAGATACAAAATCAATATACAGAAATCTGTTGCATTCCAAAAAACAAACTAGCAGAAGGAGAAATCAACAAAACAATTCCATTTACAACTGCATCAAAAAGAATACCTAGGCATAAACCTAATCAAAGAGGTGAAAGACCTGTACTCTGAAAACTGTGAGACACTGATAAAAGATATTGAAGAAGACACAAATCAATGGAAATCTAGCCCATGCTCCTTGATAGGAAAAATTAATATTATCAAAATGGCCATTCTGCCCAAAGCAGTTTAATACAATCCCTATCAAAATATCAATGTCATTTCTCAATGAACTAGAGCAAATAATCCTAAAATTTATATGGAACCACAAAAGACTGAGAATAGTTAAAGCAATCTTGAGAAAGAAAAGAGAATCTAGGGGTATCATGCTCCCTGATTTCAAGCTATAATACAACACTACAGTGACTAAAACAGTATGGTGCCAGCACAAGAACAGACCTATAGATCAATGGAATAGAATAGAGAGCGCAGAAATAAAGCACATACATATTGTCAATAAATGTGAGACAAAGTAGGCAAGAATATATAATAGGGAAAAGACAGTCTCTTTAATAAATGGTGTTGGGAAAACTGGATTACTACATGCAAGAGAGTTAAACTGGATCATTCCCTGACACCATACACAAAAACAAATTTAAAATGAATGAAAGGTCTAAATATAACACATGAAGCGAAAAAAGTCTTAGAAGAAAACATGGGCAAAAAAATCTTGAACATGAGCATGATTAATTTTTTTCCGGGTATGTCTCCCCAGGCAAGGGAAACAAAAGCAAAAATAAACAAGTGGGACTACATCACATTAGCAAAGGAAACCATCAACAAAACAAAAAGGTAACCTACGGTATAGGAAAATATTTTGCAAATGATATATCTAATAAAGGGCTAATATCCAAAATGCATAAAGAACTCGTATGATTCAACATCAAAAAACCCCAAATAACCCAATTTAAAAAATGGTCAGAATACCCAAATAAGTAGACATTTTTCCAAAGAAGAAATACAGATGGCCAACAGGCACATGAAAAGATGCTCCACATCACTTATCAGGGAAATGCAAATCAAACCCACAATGAGATACCACCTCACACCAGTCAGAATGGCCACCATCCAGACAAGAAAGAGCAAGCGCTGGCGAGGACACGGAGGAAAGGGAGCCTCCCACAGTGCTGGTGGGGATGTAAATTGGTGCAGCCACTATGGAGAGCAGTATGAAGGCTCCTCAAAAATCTAAAAATAGAAATTCCGTATGACCCAGTAAATCCACTAGAAATTTACTCAAAGAAAACAAAATCTCCAATTTAAAAAGAGATATGCACCCCTATGTATATTGCTGCATTATTTACAATAG